TTTTTTTTTTTTTTTGTTTTTCACTTTTTTATTTTGTCAATTATCATGTTTGAATTAGTTATTTCTGTTGAGATATTGGAACTTCGTATTTCCCATTAAATTTCATATTGGTGGTTATGGTTTTTTCATGGTGTCTGTAAGAATTTTAGTAATTGGGTGAATAAAAACATTTTTAGCTTCTGAAAATGTGTGGTTTACTTGGAAGATGGTGTCATTATTTCCAGAGAAGCATGCCTATAATGGGTCTTTTGTTTGATTGTACCTGATACTTTAGGTATTTGAAGTGATTAAAAAGCAAGAAGAAACGAAGCAGCAAGAATTAACAACGAAAGCTGCAGAATTCAAAGCAATGCACGCGCAAGCAGAAGCTGTAAGATTCATTTCATTATATGAGTTGTAGTTTCCTGATCTGTTAACAAAAATAGATTCATCTTTTTATCTTTTCTTTAATATGTATATTGTCTTAGATATTTGTTTCACATAAGGGTCTCAAGCAAGAGTTATTGATCTGGTCTAATGTCATATCGTGTCATTATTTGCTCTCTTTATGCATTCTTTTGGGATAATTTGCTTTTCGATCAAGAAAATGGAGCCTCATCATAGGAATGAATAAGTAATAGTTTCTAGGTGTTCATTATCTCCAATCAACAAGATCAAACCTACAGATAGAAAACCTCATTATGGGTGTTTCTTCCACAATGCAAACCGTCAAAGATGACACTTTTGTGTGTGTATTTATTTTTTACATTTAAGAAGCATCGGAAACGACATTCTAATTTTTGCAGGAGAGGCAGAGAGTGGTCTATGAAGAACAGAAGAAGCTAGCTCAGCAACAAGCACAGATCAAATCACAGATGGCGAAGTATGAAGATGAGCTGGCAAGGAAAAGGATGCAGGTGCGTGACCTCTTTTTGATTTATATCCCGAATAAGCGGCAGTTTTAGCAATTATTGAACACTGGGTGATCCTGACTTTGTGCAGGCCGAGAACGAGCATCAAAGAGCGAGAAATCAAGAACTCGTGAAAATGCAAGAGGAATCGTCTATGAGGCAAGAGGCAGCCAGACGAGCCACAGAGGAGATGATTCAAGCACAACGCCGGCAGACTGAAAGGGAAAAGGCTGAGATAGAGCGTGAGACTATAAAGGTAAGGGCTATGGCGGAGGCCGAGGGTAGGGCCCATGAAGCCAAGCTCGCGGAGGATGTCAACAGAAGAATGCTTGTTGAACGTGCAAATGCAGAGCGTGAAAAATGGGTTGCCGCTATCAACACGACTTTCGATCAAATTGGAGGTTTTCTTTTAGTTTCCTTTTTTGTCCTTGGCGTCATTTTCTCTTTACTATAAAATGTGTTGTCTGTGATATCGGGGAGACCTTTTGCTTTGGCAGTAGGCTTTTTCAATTTTGCAGTGCCCCCCATCTGCAAAAATCTGTTTGCTCATTAAGTATCATGAGTTCAATAGTTCTTGTTTTGATTATATTGCTGGTGTGCGGAGATTTATTTTCTACCTTATTGGACCAGTTGATATAATATATATGTGAAACTTATGGTTGGCCTTTTATTTATGCAGACTATTGCTCCTTGCTTTTGATGACACTTTTTTTATTCTTCTTTTTTTACTCGCTGAAGGTTTTGAATAAGATTTAATTGATCGCCTCATTTTTACATACAGCTCAACGACTAACTTTCCCATCAAAATGCAGGGGGTTTGCGAGCTATTTTAACAGATCAGAATAAGTTGGTTGTAGCTGTTGGAGGAGTAACAGCTCTTGCAGCAGGGGTCTACACGACAAGGTACTACCGTATTGGAATGCTTATATTAGATGAAACAGATTAGCTGCAATGCATTGTATGTCTATGTTCACATTTAGAAGCCCAGGTGTGGTCAACCAGAAAGAATGTTTATCTAAGCACGCAATACTATGAACATTTCAAACTTTGATACTTTTTCTCATTTGAAAGACCTACTTTTAGTGTTTTGATGGTTCGTAAAGAATCATAGCTGACTTGTACTACCATCCATGCAGGTTGCATGTTGTTTCCTTGAGCCCTACAGCTTGTGACATGGAAATTACATGTCTTATAATTAAGTGATAGCTGATATTTTATTGTCAGCCCTTTTAATTATATAACATAAGAATTGTCCTTTTTATAATTTCAGAGAAGGTGCCAGGGTGATTTGGAGTTATGTGGACCGAATATTAGGACAACCATCGCTTATTCGAGAATCTTCTCGAGGGAAGTACCCATGGTCTGGGCTATTCTCACGTGGCTTGAGCACATTTTCCCTGCGTGGGGTCAATAAAAGTTCAGTCTCTCCAAACGGAAACAGTTTCGGTGATGTCATTTTACACCCTTCTCTCCAGAGGCGAATTGAGCAGCTGGCGAATGCAACAGCAAACACAAAAGCTCATCAAGCACCATTTAGAAATATGCTCTTTTATGGGCCACCTGGAACAGGGAAAACCATGGCTGCTAGGGAGCTTGCCCGTAAATCTGTATGACATTTTCAACACTTTCCTCCTTGTAGGGATTAACTTCATTTTAATAGTTTGGTTAAATAATTGTTCGGTCTGTATTCTGCATTCTCGTTTTAGCAAACAATTTAAGTATTTGGAAAAGGGGAACGCCTATTCTTAAAAAGGACTGGTTTTAAGTTGGAGGTCTTGAATTATGGAATTGTGGAGATACTTTCAACTCATCCAATGGAAATTCCTCTGTTTGATAGTAATTTTTTTTTTTCTTTTTGGGCATATAGGGCCTTGATTATGCACTGATGACCGGAGGTGATGTTGCGCCACTGGGTTCTCAGGCTGTCACGAAGATACACCAGCTTTTTGATTGGGCCAAGAAGTCCAACAGGGGTTTGTTGCTCTTCATTGACGAAGCGGATGCATTCTTGTGCGAGTAAGTAAATTCTCCCTGAAAATTCTTTCCAAATTCCCTATAAGTTCTCCTTCATATATTCCTAATTTGAAAAACATTTCTCTAGGTGATTTCCAAAGTGAAATTTGCACTTGTAGAAACTATGCGCCAGCTGAAGTGCTGTATTTTTCTTTACTGTTGATACATTTATCTGTATTTGTCAGAGTTCTTTACTCATGTCTTACTTCATCTCTTTCATAAGAAGATTAGGGCACATACTTGCTTCGTATGCCGAAACAAATCAATTTGTTTGTATACAGTTAGAGAAACATGGTTCTCTAATATCGTTTATTTGGCGATTTTTCAATCTTAACGATTCTAATCACACTAATTCCTGCTCTTAACATTATTGTTATGAATATTTTAAGGCGGAATAAAACCTATATGAGTGAAGCCCAAAGGAGTGCACTAAACGCGCTGTTATTCCGCACGGGTGACCAGTCGAAAGACATAGTCCTTGCCCTAGCCACCAACCGGCCTGGTGATCTTGATTCGGCTGTGGCGGACCGAATAGATGAAGTCTTGGAATTCCCTTTGCCGGGTGAGGAAGAACGTTTCAAGCTGCTCAAACTGTATCTCAATAAGTACATTGCACAAGCTGGGGCAAGAAAACCGGGCTTGTTTTCCCATCTCTTCAAGAAACAGCAGAAGCAGATTGAGATCAAGGGACTGAATGATGATGTCATCAAGGAAGCTGCCTCCAAAACCGAGGGCTTCTCTGGGAGAGAGATTGCTAAGTTGATGGCCGGGGTTCAGGCTGCAGTTTATGGCAGCGAAGATTGCGTTTTGGATGCCAATTTGTTCCGTGAAGTGGTTGATTACAAGGTTGCCAAGCATCAGCAGAGAAAGAAACTCGCCTTGGCTGAAGGAAAAGTTGCTTAGCTAGGTCATTGTGAATTCTATATGGCTTCTATTTTTTTTTTAGTTAGTATGAGGTAAACTTAAGACTTTCATAGAGGGCCCAGAATTTTGATATCTAGAAAGATGCCCGTATTGTTTTTCCCCCGAAAGTAGGTAAAATTTTGGTATTGTTTTTCCCCCGAAAGTAGGGAAAATTTTGGCGTGGGTTACGGTAGCTAACTCACTACAACCATGAGATTATCAGATTCGGCAAAATAAATTGGCCTATTCATTCATGGCACGATTTTTGTTTCTACTATAGATTGTGTCAACAAATGTTTAATGTGGTTTACCCAGAAAAATATCAATCAGCTGATGTGATGAGTGCATACAAATACAATGCAAGCAAATTCCACTTATAAGTTCAAAACAAATACTTATTTTTTAAGGAGACGAGAAAATACGACAACCACAAGCCACACATTATGCAGTCAGAAAATCCAAAATCAATCTGAAACTGGCAATTGCAAGCCACACATTATGTAGTCAGAAAATCGAAAACCAATATGAAACTGTTCAACGCGATTGATTATAAACCTTCAAACAGCTTAACAAATGATCCAATGGTTTAATGATGATGGTCTTGCACATAGCGCAGGCCACAGTACTTGCAGACAGCTGGCTCTGCCTTGTCGAGACATATGAACTCGATTGGATGCCCAAGTGCTGGGTTATTATCTGCAACAAAGGGGAAATAATATGATCTGCCAAGAAGGGGAATAGTTTCTCAAAGAAAATACAAAAAAAAAACGAAAAGGCAAAGGGAACAAGAAATGAATGAGATTCGGATCGGGAAACGGCTGCCAAAACTGTGTGCACTGTTCTATACATACCTCCTTCACAAGCAACAATCCTGTCTTGCACTTTGATTGGTGGTACTTCATTGATCAACTCCATCGGAGACTTTTTACTTGTATCCTATATCAGTCGAACATAAGCAATTATTAGGCATGCAATCATATATCTTTCTACCTAGAGGTGTACGTATATCACACATGTCAAAGAAAGAGAGAGGGCCTAGTCACCTTTCAAGTTTAAAAGCAATGGATCAACCCATGGGATTCCAATAGATTCAACATAGTTACATAATAAAGGCAAAACTACAATCCAAATGGCAACATATGAAGCCATACATTATGGATTATCAACCTAGTTTTACATGACTAGCATAAAGAAAAGATGAATGCTTTGGTAGGATAATAAGTGGCTCACAAATTCGTCACACTCGGGGATGTCAGTCACATTAATCTTCCTTCAGTACACTGCTTAATATACCCCTTCCGGCATATCCTTTGTACCAAATTCGCTAATAAAAATCAAGAGGCATAATAGCATGAGCTAAAAAAATTACTTATATTACAGATACCTAGGCTGACCACATGTAAAAGTAACGTGACGAGATCACAATGGCACAAAGTAAGAAACGAAACCTACAATATGACTGCAATATTGTCCTTAGTATACTTTTCAAACCTAAGCAGGCCTTCTCCAGGTCTTGCGAATTCGAGCACGAAAGAAGTTACGCATTTGAGAAGTCATCAAGAGTTAGGACTACAGGCTTGATAGGTTGATTAAACCAAAAAAGGGATTTAATTTCTTAACTTTTCAGGGGAAAATACATTAATTTTAGCAAGATGCTGCAGACAAAGGGGCATATCAACTCCATAATTTTGCCTCATTGTTTTGAGGCTTTAACACAACAGCTAATCATAGCAGCGAGAAGATACCTAATTTCGATCGAATGAACTGTGACTAACAAGAAATTGACGTTGTTCTTCACATCTAAAATAGAAAATCCCAGATTTCACATCATCAAAGAAAATGATTTCGACCTAACAACAAGAGAACCTCTGAGGTTGCATAAAATCATACGGTTGAGAGTACCTGCATCCATTTTTGGGTGTGGGAGGTGATGACCTCGGTGCTGACGACGCCGGTAAAGCTTCGAGAATTGGATGGTGTGGTTAGGGTTCTGATGAGCTGCGTCGCCATTGTTAATCCGTTTCTTCTGCCAGATGCCGCCATTGCTCAGAGCTGAGTGGAGAGAATACGTTCAATCTTACAGCGCTGAATTGAAATTGTTATAAAAATCGTAGCATTTTACCCCAAAGTTAGATCGAATTATTAACTCTCTCTAATTGCATTTAGGGCCCCCATGAAATTTCATTTTATTATAAAATACTAAAATAGTATTCGCAACGGCCAGCAATAATAGGCTATAGGCTAATCTATATCTATATAATGGACCAATCTTTATTACTATAATTGATATAGTTTTAGGTGGGAAAATATTATCATCTATATTTAGCATATAATCATCTATTAACAAATTTTATATATGAACATTAATTATTTTTTGTTTACTCATTGACTAATATTAATTAGTTATAAATTGACTTAAATAGAATATTGATTGATTACATATATTTTCAAAAAGATCCTAATATTAATTTCGTAGTAATTTTTTCACACAATTAAAAAACTATTCAAATTATGAAATATTGATTTGATTAACTAGTACAGATCCCGTGCGATGCACGGGGTGCACAAAATTAAGGTCATTTTTCAAGTCTTATAATTATATAAATGAATAAAGAAACATTTGATTTGGTATTTTCGGAGAGCTTCATTAATTTAAGAGTGTAAAATAAATAAATAAAAAAGTACAACCGAAAAAGTTACAACCAATTGTATGGATAATTAAACTAAATCTAATTTTGTAGGATGATTAAATATTGATTAGATTTTATATGTAAAATAAAATAAAAAATAACTGGAATAATTTTACGTGTTGCAATATTTTATATTTAAAAAAAATTAAAAAATCTTCTTTTACGTATTGCATACCAACATTTTAGGAACTATAGGATATTCCTAAATTAATATTGCATACCCAATATTTTAGAAACTAATTAAATGCTAATTTAATTTGCATACCAAAAATATTAGATGCATTAATTAAATGCTTGAAAAAAATAGCAAATCATTAATTAGAGTTGACTATTCTACATACTACATTTAGTAAATAGTATAGCTTTTAATATAAGTATAGATTATATTATCATCGTATGGTTGTAGATATGAATTTTATTAATTATGTTAACCGTTCAAAAACACTTAAAATATCAAACAAGTAATCAGAATAAATGTGTTTGAATCATATTAACTTAATGAATATTTTACAGTAATAACAAAATTTGCTAAAATATAGTCAACATAACCATTAAAAAATATATCTCCTTCAAATATATTATTTTATTAGATATACTATTGAAAAGTAAATTTAATATGTTAGCTTTGTCATTTTTGAAAAGTGCTTGTCTTGTCTCTTTCTTTGGCAAGATTTTTGGAAAGTAACAATTCTGTAATTCGCCATTCTTTCTCTCTTTCGAAAGTACAAATATGAATAAACTTCTATCATACATCTCTATTCCATATTCCAAACCGAGAGATATTTCAGGAATAGGACTACCCATTGGGTAGGGATTGGGATTGAGGAACCTTACGCCCACAGGACTTGAAAATCAAGCTATGAGTTCCAGTACCACTTTACGGCGCTTAAAGTCTTGGCTAGACTCCCGAAACATTGGTCAGTAAAATTATTATTTGATGGTCGAGTAAAATTAATAATTATAAGTTTTACATTAAAAGTATCTGTATACATAAAAAATCAATTAAGTTGTAAAAAAACTATATTTCTTATTATATACTATGTAATAAAAAAATGAGTAAATAGGATAATAATTAAATATCATAATTAAAATTATAGCATCTAATAATAATCGAAATATATAATTTATCTAAACATTTAAATTGGATATTAATACACTCATTATATATGTTGAATAAATTTACTACATATATAACTATAGACAAAAAAGTTAAAAATAAAAATAAATAGTTTACTATGAAAAATTTGTTGCATAAGCGATTAAAGTTACTACAATTTAAATTTAATTATCAAACAATTAATATTTCATGCATCTAAAATTATAATAATGGAAATTAAATTTTATGGGTTATAATATTATTTAGCTATCGAACAATATGCAAAATAGAATTGTTGAAAAAGTTATAAGATCAAGATAATCAGTAATTTTACAAGTGTATGTAAACAATTTGTATACAAACATCATATTTAAAATCTAGATATTAATACAATTTTACAAACTTATAAATTGTAATATTTATATGCTAGCCCAAGATCTGTTCCTTCTTTGAAGGAAAACGAACTATCGACCCCATTCCTGACGAAAGTTCACTCGAAAAAAAGGTAGGAGGTCAGACCAAGGACATGTGGCATAGCAAAAGCCTTCGAAGCCACCTGTGTCCCACGCTCGAAGGCATTCCTCCCTTTCAAGAGGAAGGTACATATGGATCTACCCGAGGGATCTCAACGAGGTATGAGAGGGGTGCCCTTGTGTGGGTCTCCCCCGGTTGGTACGTGTGGAACCAGGAGGGAAAATTAAATAGTCAAAATATGTACAAATAAATTAAAATAGATTTTCAAACAAAATTTTTATTATTACTGACTTGACATATTGAGTCGGATATAATTACCATGTTGTCTAAAATAAATTAACAATATTTGAATAACAAAATATTAATTTATAGTATACCCGTGCATCGCACGGGTATCAACACTAGTAGCATAATTAGGAAAAAAACATTTTTATTTCATTACAGATTTCTTTTCCTATTGAAATTTTCAAATAAAAATTTAATCAGTATTACACAATCCCTCCAAGCATATAAATATATAAATGAAGATATATGTCAATATGTAACGCCCTGTTATTTTTAATAAGGAAAATCTCGAATTTTTTTAACATTCAGAGTAAATTTTTCGAAAAGCATTTTTCGATTTAAAAACATTTAATGGACGCTACTCAAATTATTCATTTTTTTATTCGGCTGAAGCCATATCTTAAGCCATTTGGGTACTCATTGCCCAATTTCACACACATAATATATACTAGTTGTAACCCGTGCATTTGCACGGAAAGCTAGCCAATTAATTCTCATTTTCACGGGAAGCATTGTGATAGAGGAAAAAATAAAATACATTGTAAAGAATAGGACAAAAAAAATACATCATTTGATAAAAGCCTAAAAAAAATCTATATATTATTAAACACTTCCTTATATACAATGTTCGTGGTTTTATTATCATCTGAATCTCCATCAGCTTTGCTAGAGGGATTCTAGGCGAGATTCTAGGCGATCTTCGGACATGTCCTCCCACTT